TTATAGGCTTCTTGGATCCATAGGATGATGACACGTGTCATCTCCTGGTAAGGATAAAATCATTGATGAGTGCTAAAAAGTGCGCATTTAAACCCCTTAAGCTTAGGTATTCTAGGACTTTTATCTATCTTATTTTCCCGTCTTAAACTAATTTCATGTTATTGCCTTTTTCAGGTGCTTATCCAAAAAATAAGCTAATTCAGCCAAATAAGAGCATTAAAGAAACTAACTCAAGCTGGATGGAAGAAAGGAGCAAAGTGGAAGCAAAATGAAGCAAAATCAGCAAGTTCGATCGATCTCAACATTTCTTTGATCGATCAGAGCAACATCAATCTGGACACTTCAAGATGGATTCAAGCCTTTATCCTTATCCAAAAGATTCCACCATATTCGATCGATCCAACCATTCTTCGATCTATCGAAATTGTTTGATCTTATCCTCACCTACCACCCCACCTACCACTTTTATCTCTTTCCTAAAATATCCCAAAATATCTCAGAGATTTGTCTTTATTCAAAAAGGCGCCACCAAGGATGATCGATCTCTGCAGCATTCGATAAATCTCACCTAAGTTCGATCGATCTCACCACAGTTTGATCGATTGAACCTCCTCAAATCCGAAAAAAAAAAAAAGTTCCAGCTCATTAAAAGTTGTCTCATAGTGCAATCATTGGAGGAACCCTTGTGCACGAGTCCAGGCCATTGGGTGTGATACTTGAGCTACCTATATAAAGATTTGAGCTACTTTTTACACATATATAAAGATATATACTTAGAAACATTCTTAGGGAGGAAGAAAAGAGAAGAGGAGAGGCTAGAGATACATTCTTGGGAGTTCTTCCATTCTTTTAGGGTTTCCATCAAGAAGGAGGTCATTCCTACTATGGAGATAGCCTTTGAGGGTTGGATGGCTACTTCAATGAGTGACTAAACATCTTCTTGGGGCTAGAGTTAGCCCTAAGCATGCCTTCTAGACTCTAATGCTTTGTATTTTGAGGGGATTTGTGTTGTAATATTGTCTTGATACTTATTTTGTCTATGAATCTTGTTTATTCAATGATTTGTATGGTTTAATACTTCCAATTGATCATTTCATTTTATCCATATGTCTATGTATGTTAGAATAGATATTCATGTGTTTATCTTTAGTTTTTGTGTTATTGATGCATGTCTATGTGTGTTGATGCTATGTATCTAGAGATTGTCAAGGCACAGTGCTTAATAGAATACTATTGTGGTTTTTTTGATGGTTCATACTCATATCTTGATGGATTGTGCCTCTCCCTTAGTTTATTTAGTTTAATTTTCATTCCCTTAGCTTAGTTGTAGCGTAGTTACCTTAGTTGTTAGATAGGAGGACAATCAATGCTTGTTGTTTGATGTTCCATACTTATAAATGCAAGTAGTATTATTCTCTAACCATGTGATGTGTTTGGATTATGAGCTTAAAGGAAGGATTAATGGCTTAGTTTGATGTATTGTGCTATTCACTAGGTTGCTTAGACAATACATGTTTAATTGGTCATCCATGCTTGTTGAAACAATCAATCATACACTTTCAAATTGCAAAACATGTTTCCCCTCATTAATTATACACTGAATGTCTAAAATGGTGATGTTTAGTGGTGACATCTAGACTCCAAGACTTCACTCTCTTGTTTTCTCTAAATTTCATTTAAATTGCTTGTTTTACATTGAACTTGTTTAGTTTAGTTTGTAGTCTAATCAACCAAACAATCCACTTTTGATCACTCGACCTACTAACCTATATACTGTTTCCATTGCTAGTGCACCCACAATCCCTTGAGACGATCCTTACTCACCCTAACTATATCTTTAGTTAGAGGTAGTAGTGGCATTTATAAATTTAAAAGTTGGTTACACTATTTTGCACAAATTTGGTTGTACATCGACGACACGCACCAATCATAACCGGGCCGGGCCGGTTATATTATGATAATTATTCTTAAAAATAATTATTCCAAATATATTTTATTATGAATAATTATCTTTCGATTTAATCATCTAGGCTGGGCTAATTAAATAATTTAAGTGGATCAAGCTTGGGCCAATTAAATAACTTAATGAAACATTGACCCATATTTAATGCATCAATTTGTCAAAACAAAAGTCCATTAAAATTTTAATGTCTACAAAGTGCTGCCAACGATGAAAGAAAGGTCGTTGTATCTTGGAAAACAAACACTATAGAGTCAATCAGCATCATAGCGGAACGAATCTATCTTAAGGAAATAAAATCAAATTCTAGTCTCAGCATATTAACAGGTTCTTTATATATATAGTTTATTATATTGTTATACTTATTTATAATTTTATTTTAAAATTTTGTATAATATTTAAAAAATAATATTTCAATACTTATATGTATATATATATAGTACTGTATTTTTAACAACAGATACACTATTGGGTGCAATACTTACTCTTTTTTCAAAATGCCCAAGTATGAAAAATATAAGAGAAAATTTCTAAACTTTGAGTAGAATAAATTTCAGTAGAAAATAAGGTTGAACGTAATCCATCTTTCATCCATTTTCAATGAGCAAAGTGTGATCCTTATATAGACCTTTCAAAATGATTCTCATATATGTGTTCAATTATCAAAATAAATGAACTAAGAGAAACTCATGTTCCAAGATAATGAAGTTACATAAATTCATTATGTATCACACATATCAAAATGTATTTCGTAATTTGATGAATGAACTTGAAATGGTTCATCTTAGAGTTAGATGAATCAAATAAATTTATTAATAAAACCAAAAGTCAAATATGAATAATGTAGAAATATTTCACTTGTTGATACATAAATCACCCAAAAGAATATATATATATATATATATATATATATATATATATACACACACACATTACTTAACACATTTAAAAACTTGATTGTTTGAGGTGAATGAATCAAAATAGTTATACTTTAATTATATATAAATATATTTCAAAATTATTATAAAAATATTTTCAAACATTTTCCAACATTCATTTCATGAATCATTTAGAGCAAATTATTATAAAAATATTTTGAAACATTTCCCAACATTCATTTCATGAATCATTTAAAGCTGAATCCAACATGAATTTAAAATGTATTTTCTAGGTAAAATTCAACTCAAATTCTTAGGCCATGTTTGGTTTGGGGTTTTTTTTGACGTTTTGTTTTAATCCGAAACAAATCAAGTGTTTTGTTATAAAGTGTTTTAAATAGTAACGTCTATTTTTTTGTAAGATTTTTTGAAGCAAACACATGAAAACATGATTGGTAAAAAAAAGTTACAAATTTCAAAATTATAATGGTTAGTTTTAAAAGGTCAATTAAGAGTTTTTAAATATATACTTATATATATATATATATATATATATAATTTACTGTTCATAATCCGTTCCTATAATGCTGAAATATGTAAAAATATTAAAATAGTATTTTTAATTTTTGGTCACTATTTACAAAACGTTTTGACATTGTGTATAAGAAAGAATTTTTTACTAAGTGTATTTTTTTTTTCCAAAAAACACGGTTACAATCAAAAATAAAAACACTAAAAATAAAATGGGTGCCAAATATGTCCTAAGTATCAGATTTAAACAGTAAAGTAAATTCAATAGAATGAATTTCTAATTGAATCGAGTTCAGGGCATTGGCTAAACCAAAAAACGATAGATATATGACATGTGAATGGGATGGACCCTTCAATTAAATGACACTTAAAATGACTAGACATTAATAGGGTTAGGACACCAAGTTTGTGGGTTTTTTATTTTTTTTTATTTTTATTTTTTTATGACTAAGGCTAGAAGATATTAGTTTAGAAAATTCCAGAAGCTCTTTTAGTGGTAAATGATTGGCTTGCATTAAATGAAGTCTTTTCTTCATTCAAATGATAAAATTGTTATGGATTAGACAGATTTCATTAATATTATATAGCCACAATTCCACATGGACACATAAAAAGCATTTCACTTTGTTACCACTTCTATCACGTTCAGTGAACTTGATCTTTTGCTGTACCTTGAGTACTAATTTTACCTTTTCTAGTAATTAAATAAGAAAGTGAGTTATTACGTCATCATCGGTGATTAACCCAAACACGAATGATTTTGAAATATGTTGTTAACCTATTACATGCAATACTCAATAGTTTGCAATGGATGTGTAGTTAATGCTTGCAAGTTCCTTAGATTTTTGATGTGGATCTTAGGATCCTAGTTAGTAAATTTGCAAAAAATATGTAAATTATATATGTAGGTATGATATTTTAATTTTTTATTTCGTAAAATACATACTTTTTATTATAAAATGATTTACATTTTAATTTTATATATTTCTCAAATAAAAAATCTCAGTTAGTATTACGTTCTTTTGTTTTAAATAATCATTCTCTTTCACACTGATATTTGGAGTATTTAGTTAGTTTATTTTTTTCATGATTTTCGTGATAATGCGAATATGCATAAAATTTATGTATTGTCATTAACCATAACTTGATCAAATAAAACTTTTGTTTATATGACAAATTAACAGACATCCAATCACTAAAAGTCAACAAAAGATTGGGTTTGTACGTGATCCCCCCTCATTTGTAGTCCACAATTGTCCTCTAAAACATAATTATCCACACATAATTGTCGGCTACGTTGCTTCGCTTTCCCCTTCCCTCTGGCAACAAGTCACTTCATCAGCGATCCACGTGTCTACGTCGGTAAGTGGGACCCACTCTGTCATCGCCCTAAAGATAAACACAGCCCACTCTTTCCGTACACCCTCAGTTAAACCTAACAAAACTAACACCCCTAGCCTAAATCCAAGTAACATCACCACCCAACACTACCTCGACAAGTGTCCTTCACACGTGTCATGCCATATGTGTATTACTGCGGTCAAACACTGATTCAACGCGGCAATCAAAAACACCTCGTAAATATCTGCCACGTGTACACAAAGATTTCTCTCTATATATAAAATATTTAGGCATTACTAGATCCATAAGAACTTAGATTATACCAGCAAACAAGTTGAATTCAAATGATTCAAAAATTGGACCGGAATGATCGCCGGGTTCTGACATTTCCGGCGGTCCACCCCTGCGAGAGCATATCTCCGGCGACCCTTCTCGGCTCTTTGATCACTCTTTCTCGGAGCATTTGTGATCACCAGCGCAAACCGTTCGCAACCCAGAAGCGGAACGCCCGAGAATCGATTCGCCAAATCGGAATTCTCCTCCTATTCTTGGAGGAAATCCAAGACCGGGGGCTCAATTTGTCCAACTCCATTGTCCTCTGCTTCTCTGAGCTCCACCTCACATTCCAAAAGCTTCAATTTCTCTTGCAAGATTGCTCGCGAGATGGGTCTCGATTCTGGGTTTTGATGAAGTCCCATTTTGTATCAACACAATTCCGTGTTTTGATTAGAGCTGTAGCAACAGCGCTCGATGTTCTTCCTCTGAGTTCCATCGATTTGTCGTGTGAAATCAGGGAATTAGTTGAATTGGTGGCGAAGCAATCAAGAAAGGCGAAAATTGAGTTGGACCCAGAGGATGAAATGGCCATGAAAAGAGTGATTTTGATATTGAATCAATTCGAGAACAAATTCGAGCCAGAGCCGAGTATGATCAAAAGGGTTCTTGATTATCTTGAAATCCGAAGTTGGAGTGATTGTAACAAGGAGATTGAGTTCTTAGATGAAGAGATTGAGTTGGGGAGTTTAGATGCTGATGACAGAGAAGTGCCTTTATTGAGCAGTTTAGTTGGGTTGATGAGCTACTGCAGAGGAGTTCTGTTTGAGAGCTCCGTTTTCGGGAAAACAGAGCAAACAGATACTAAATGCAGTTTTGAGATGGTTGGTTGCTTGAATCCAGAAGATTTCAGGTGCCCGATTTCTCTCGAGCTGATGACCGATCCAGTGACGGTGGCGACTGGCCAGACCTACGACCGGGCTTCAATTCAAAAATGGCTCAAGTCTGGAAATCTCCTCTGTCCCAAAACAGGGAAAAAGCTAACAAATACAGAGTTGGTGCCTAATTTCAGTCTTAAGAAGCTCATACAACAGTTCTGTTCGGATAATGGGATTTCACTTTCGAAATCAAGAAAGAATAATCGCGACATAACTAGGACGATTGTTCCGGGATGTCCAGCAGCCGGAGAAGCCATGAAGTTACTCGCCGGATTTCTCACCGGCAGGCTATGTTATGGGACTCATGAACAGAAGAAGAAGGCAGCTTATGAGATCCGTTTGCTTGCAAAATCAAGCATTTTCAACCGGTCTTGCTTGGTTGAATCGGGGACTATTCCACCTCTCTTGAAGCTGCTAAATTCGAATGATCCATCCATGGAAGAGAACTCAACTGCTGCATTGTTGAAGCTCTCAAAGCATGCCAATGGCAAGAAAGTGATCATTGACAATGGGGGACTAAAACCGATACTCGGGGTGCTTGAAAGTGGACTAAAATTGGAGGTCCGACAGATAGCAGCTGCAATCTTTTTCTACCTGTCATCAGTCCCCGATTACCGGAAATTGATCGGAGACTTTCCAGGGGCGATCAAGGCTTTGGTGGAACTAATCAAGAATGGGACAAATTGTGGAAAAAAGAATGCAGTGGTAGCTATATTTGGGCTTCTTCAATACCATCCTAACCATCAAAGGGTCCTGGCAAGTGGTATTGTTCCATTGCTAGTTGACCTTCTAGGTACTCCAGATAGGGATGATCTTACCACAGACTCATTGGCAGTACTTGCAGCATTAGCAGAGAGCATCAATGGCGCGATTTCAATCGTTGAAACTGACACAGCTTTGCCCTCGATTATGAAGGCTTTAGCGTCTACAACTTCCCGGACAGTGAAAGAGCATTGTGTTTCAATTTTGCTGTCTTTGTGCAGCAGTTGTGGCAGGGATGTGCTTGCAGTTTTGGCTAAGGACGCTTCGGTAATGACTTTGCTTTACTCGCTTGTAACGGATGGCACATCTCATACGAGCAAGAAGGCGCGTTTGCTCATCAGATTGCTGCAAAAATTCCACGAAACAAGCTCATCATGCTTGGCTAACGCAGTGCCACGAGAACACTTCATTCACGTACAGTAGACCTATTACGAAATATTCCAACATTTCTCTGTATATACATATATCATGTGGTTTGTGGGCAGTTTCATTTTTCTTACTGTTACACCTTGATTTTTCTCACATTAGCTCGGTTTTTTCAAGAGCTAAACACTGTATTAAACTATGTATTAGTCATTGCTTATGAGTTATGGAGGTAGACAGCAATAAATTACACACGAGAAACACATGTATTTTTATTTTTGTATTATAGTAATAAATAAAATTGTGTGACAATATTACAGATGATTGGCTTTGTTTTTTTTATTACACATAAATATATATTTTCCATATTGCAAAGTAGATTACTATACCATCTTTACTAATGTCACTATATAGTAAGTCCAATTGCACAAAACAAGGGAAGAAAGGGGAACAAAATGGAAGTTTCCTGTGCTGCACTTGAGCTGGCCAATTTATCAGCACATAAGATTCCAACTTGGTAATAAAAAATTTTACCCAAAAAAAAAAAAAAAACTTGGTAATAGCAATGAATTGACAAGTATGGATCCTAGGCTTTTGGTAGTCATCAAGAAGTGTACAAATGTACTAGGCAATTATGTTTGTTCTGCTTAAATCTGTTCTAACTAAGCTAAATCAGATTTCCAATTCCTTTTTGTAGCAGGGCCAGAGCTCAAAAGTGCCAAGGCTAAGGTTTCGTAGTTTATAATTTGTCCCCCCAAACCAGCTGGGGGTTTGTGATGAACCAAAAGGGGTTCAATTGGTTCTTGCATAAACTTTTCTTCTTTGCATGATCAATACAATGTGATAAGGATGATGACGGAATCAACAAGCTTCCACACACTATGAAATCCACAGCCTTGTATCTTCATTACAGACATACTCAGATGATAATCAAGATGAATATAGCATGTATATACAAGTACAACTCATATACATGATCAGTTCTACAGAGCCTTCAAAAACCAGGGTTTCACAAGGTCAAATTCTGTATTGACCTTAATTATGTGCAAACCTCAACTTCAACAGCCTTGATTCAATTATAGAAACTTGCTCAAATGATAATAATGCAGCTCAAAGCAAGATATAGTGATATTAAGTTCAGATAAGTAAGCTAAACTAGAAAAACAAGCTGTTACACAGGTCAGAGACATCAAAATCAAATGCAACTAAAAGATGGTCACAAACATACTTTCTGTAGATGTAAAATGATAAGTTACACTTGCCTCAACCTTGTCTCTGCACCATAGCAAGTACAAACCAAACTTAGACCTCGAAACCAGCATATGCACTAGCAAAAATCACAACAACATGCCTCTATTTGATCATCTACTCTTGTGAATTCTCTGAGTGCATTTCTGAGTTTAAATCAAGCTTTGATCATTACAAATAATCTCATAAATGTGTGTTCATATTCAGCTCTCTTTTCACTCTCAATACATCTTGCTTTAAGGTTCTCTCAAAGGCTTAAACCCTAGAAATTTCTACAACAGCATATATATAGTACATCATGAATACAAATCTTGTTGGTCCCACCTTTAAATTAGGATTTACCCTTTCAAATGTCAAAAAGTCCATCACATATTCTCTACATTAAGTTCCAACTGTTTCTGGCTTGAATAGTGCATTCAATTGATCTACAGGGGTAGCTTGGTCATTTCACAGTGTTGAGAAGACTATCCAAATGATCTAAGAAAGGTACATTGTCTTAAAACTCTTCTGCAGAGATCTCAGGGGTAAAAACCCTAGCACAGTAAATGATATTTTGATACAGGGTATCTCAGTGGCAATTAGGTCTTTTCACACATTTATTATATCATAATACATTTGTGTATGATGGTACATTGTGTTGAATTGGTTAACTTGATAGGTTAATTAAGTGATCACAGGTTTCGCTACAGAAATCTATATTTATTGACAATATCTCTATGACGGCATTTTGGTGAATGTATATATGTTGAGAACTCTTATGACACGTGTCATGTGGTCCTGATATGAGAATATGCAGGCTATCATTCTTTGCTCAATGATTAAGCTTGTGATACATTCATATACATATACATTTACAAGGCTGTCAATGAGTATCTATATTGAAGATATTTTCTATAAAGGTGGCAAGGGTATAATGGTACATTCACAAAGGAATTATAGATTAATTCCATGGCCAGATACTGGTGACACATACATTTCCTCTTTGAGATAGGATTTGTATTATTGAAGTACTATATTATGCTGCTATAGTCATTTTAGGGTTTTAAGCTTTTGAGTAAATCTTATTTGCAAGCTGCATTGAGAGTGGATTGTGAGCTGAATATGAACACACTTTTATGAGATTATATGTAAATGATGAAAGCTTGAATTTAGCTCAGAAATCCATTCAGAGAATTCACAAATGTAGAAGATCAAATGAAGGCCTATAGATGAGATTTTTACTGGTGTAGAAGCTGTGTTATGGGCCTTAGTGTGGTTTGAGCTTGACATGGTGCTTATACAAGGTTAAGGCAAGTGTAACTTCATTTTTTCATCTGCAGAAACCATGTTTATGACCCTCATTTAGCCGCATTTGATTTTGATATCTCAGACCTGTATATTAATTTATTTTTCTGGTTTAGCTTGTTGATATTAACTTATTATCACTATATCTTGCTATGAGTTGCTTTATATATTATCATCTAACCAAGTTACTATAGTTGAATCAAGGCTGTTAAAGTTGATTTGCACAGTATTAAGGTCAATACAATTTTTAACCTTATAAAACCCTAGGTTTGAAGTTTCTACAGAATTGAGCCTGTTGTTGAGTAGTATTTGTATACACATGCTATATTCATCTTGATTATTATCTGAGCACGACTATAATGAAGATAGAAGGCCGTGGATTCCGTCTAAGAGGTTGTGGGACTCAAAATTCCTATTTTGCCCCTCAAACTCTAGTTTCAGTAGAATGAAGATAAAGTGTCTGTGTGGATACTTTAAGCTTGTTTTTCACTTTAATATTGTATTATAGCTTAAGTATTATCATTGTAAACCTTTTCATGTATTTTTTTTTAGCTGTGAGTGCTTATTTGGTCCATAGCAATATGGATAGGGGGAGTGCAGTGTGCACTTAGTGTAGCTAGTGTGTGTGTGGAGGTTGTGAAAGCTAGTGTTTCATCTTATACAAGGGTGTGTGCAGAGAGTGAGACAACTGATTGTGTAACTACTTACATACAACTAGTGGAGCTTTTATTGGCTAAGGCCACGAACCAAGGTTTTTTTCCTATTGAGAGGGTTTTCCTTATAAATGCACTAAGTCTTGTAAGTGTGTTTAGAGGCTTGTTGAATTTGCTATCATACTCATCATATTGCATTAATCATACAAAGAAGAAAAGTTTATACAAGAACCAATTCACCCCTCATCTTGGTTCATCAATTGGTATCAGATCTTTGGTTTGCCTTTTTGAGGTTTTAACCAACCTACAGAAGATCTTGTGTAATGGAAGAAGGTTAAGTTATAAACAAAACACCTGGTTTTGATGAGTCTAATTATGATTCATGGAAAACAAGGATAAATGCTTTTCTCATGTCTTAGTCTTATAATGTATGGCATACAACCATCTATGGTTTCGTGGTTCTCAATCCAAACAACCCCTCTGCAAATGATAAAGCTTCTCTAGCAAATGATGGAAGAGTAAGATGATCTATTTTGTGCTCTCAAGCAATAAAAGTTCATAATGATTAAGAATTGCAAGACAACTAAAGAAATGTGGGATTCTCTCAAGGCTACACATGAAGGGAATAATGTTATCAAGGAGAACAAGATACAACTTCATAAATTTTAATATGAAGGTTGCAAGATGGAAGAAAGTGAAGTTGTTTCAAATTACTTAATGAAATTGTTAACAACGTGAAAGCTCTTGGTGAAGATATAAAAGACTTTGAAGTGTGCAAGAAGATCTTAAGGACCTTAAGTTCGAGGTTCAATGCTAAGGTCACTATTCTTGAAGACAAAGATCTCTCTCATATGAAAATTAATGATCTTCAAGCTTCACTCACAGCATATGAGATAGGAATTAGTGCTCTTACACAATATATAAAAGAAGCAGCTCTTAAGGCTAAAAAAGTGGTTAAGGATGCTAAACCTAAGTCTGAAGATGACGATCTTAAAGAAAATGAAGTTGCTAACCTTGCCAAAAAGTTCAGAAAGTTCAAGTTTAAAAAGAAGTCTCAATCACAGCAAACTTGTTATGGTTGTAACAAGTCAAGCCATTATAGAGCAAATTGTACTAATTCAAAAGGTCAACCTCGGAAGAAGACTGAGAACTTCAATAATAAAGGTAGATTTGGAAGGAAGGCTCTTGTGTTAAATTGGGATGCAAACCCTGAAGAAGATAATGATAAGCACTGAAAAGTACGCATTTAAACCCCTTAAGCTCGAGTATTCTAGGACCTTTATCTATCTTATTTTCCCGTTTTAGACTAATTTCATGTTATTTCCCTTTTCAGGTGCTTATCCCCAAAATAAGTTAATTCAGCCAAATTATAGCATAAAAGAAGCAATCTCAAGCTGAATGGAAGAATGGAGCAAAGTGGAAGCAAAGTGGTGGAAATCAGCAAACTTCGATCGATCAGGAATACCTTCAATCGATCTCACAGTGATTGATCTCACTTCACCAAGATGGATCGACCCCTTGTCCTTATCTTTAAGAAATTCCATCTTCGATCGATCCAACTTTCTTTAGATCGATCGAACTTCCTTGATCTTATCCCTACCTACAATTTTTGTCTTTTTCCCAAAATATCCCAAAAATATCTCAGATTTGTCTTATTTCAAAAAGGCACCACCATGGATTGATCGATCTGACCTAACTTTGATGGATTTGGCCACAGCTCGATCAATCTCATCTGAATTTGATCGATCGAACCTTCTCAAGTCCGAAATAAAACAGAGTGTAGCTCATTAAAAGATGGCTCGTGGTGCAATCATTGAAGGGACCCTAGTGCATGAGACATGACCATTAGGTGTGACACTTGAGTTACCTATATAAGGATTTTGAGCTATTTTTACATAACAACTTAGATATCTTAAGAGAGAATATCACATATCTTGGAGAGGAGGCTAGAGCTTAGAGAGACATACACTATTTTGGGAGTTTTTCCATTCTTCTAGGGTTTCCATCAAGAAGAAGATCATTCCTACCATGGAGATAGCCCTTGAGGGTTAGATGACTACATTAATGAGTGGCTAAACATCTTCTTTGGGCTAGAGTTAGCCCTAAGCATGCCTTCTAGACCTTAATGCTTTGTATTTT